CCTGCTGTGGGTGGGCCGGGAAAGTCCGGAAGGGAAACTTCGGCTCCTGCTGGGGAGTTCCAAGTTCTAAGGTTCTTCCAAGCGGGGAAGGCTACCCCATATGACCGCTTCTCAGTCTTTAGTAACAGCCATGTGGTCACCCCAGATTTTTATGCCAGGGAACCCAAAAAATCTCCCAGAAACTAGTTTAGAGGCACTGCCGATACTCCGAAATGCTTTACCGCTTTTCTTCCCAAGCGCTTCTTTTTTGTTGTTGTTTTTGTTTTGTTAATCCTTACCCAAGGATATTTTTCCATTGATTATTTTTTAGAGAGAATGGAAGGGAGGGGGGGAGACACATGATGTGAGAGAGGCCAGTATTTTAATCCATTTTCTACAGCACCAATACAATAGATACTAAATATTTATTGAAAGAAAGGAAAAGAAGGGGAGGGAAGGTTTGTTCCCAATACTGTAAATGTTTATATCATAAAACTTTCAGGTCAAAACCACATGAGTTATTATCATAAGTTTGACATGTGTATGGCTCTGAACATATATATATATACTAGAGGCCCAATGCACGAAATTCGTGCAAGAGGAGGCCTTCACAGCCCCTGCTGCCTTGGCCACCCTCACAGTCTCGGCATCATCCGACCAGAAGATCGTCCAGTCGTTCTGCTGTTCAGCAGTTTGGTCACTTTGCATATTATGCTTTTATTATTATAGATGAAAGTATATATTAATACCTTTAGGATTTTATTTGGAAAAGGTATTACAGGGTCCAAAATTTTTTCATTATTTTTCAAAATGTCTTTATTATAGAAGCAAAATTGGCTATTCAAAATTGCTTTCTAATGTACACATTCTATTACAGAGTAACATCCTAGGACAGTGTGAGAGTACATATATGCATGTTTAGAAACAAAGGTGGCCGAAACCAGTTTGGCTCAGTGGATAGAGCCTCGGCTTGCGGACTGAAAGGTCCCAGGTTCGATTCCGGTCAAGGGCATGTACCTGGGTTGCGGGCACATCCCCGGTGGGGGATGTGCAGGAGGCAGCTGATCGATGTTCCTCTCTCATCGATGTTTCTAACTCTCTATCTCTCTCCCTTCCTCTCTGTAAAAAATCAATAAAAAATATATATATATTTAGAAACAAAGGTACATGGGGGTTTGTTGTCAGAGGCCTAATAGCAAGTTAGCACTTGCAGTAAAAGGGTGAAGCAGGGAAGGGAGAAGAATGTAAACTCTTCAGTCTTGAGTTTTGGTCATGAGGATACAGAAGGACCTCAAAGCAACAGCATGTGGGAAGTTAAATGCAATTTAGTGAACATTTTGGCATCTTGGGTGTAGAATGTGTGCATGTGTAGTGGTCTCTCTGAATTGAAAAGACTTTTATCATTACAGCTATGATGGAGGACTAGTGAACATGGGTTTTGCACAATAAGTGATCAGGAGCAGAAGGTGATATTTCCTTTTCATCACTTCTAATCACTCCCTCTCTGTGTATTCATCAACTCCCCACCTACTCCGCCATGCTATCTGCCCTCGGTTCCTTCACTAACACACCACACACACACACACACACACACACACACACCACTTTTTCCAAGCCTGCTAAGTTTTCTCAAGAGCGACATGTCCAGTTTCAACACCAATATGCTTTCATAGTGGAGATGAACTCTTGCCTGATGCAGGGTAAGTGCTGTAGGTGTTCAGAGGAAAAAGGCGGGGATGGATCAAGCTGGCTACTCCAGGGAAGTAGTGGGAGAGAAGGATTAGGACTGGGCCTTAAAGCCGCTGGATGAATATTCCCTGGCCAAGGGAGATGGAGCCACTGAGCATGTCCATGTCGCGTTTCAGGTGCGGATGGCACTTGCCAGGCATTGAGAAGGGCAGAAAGCTAAGGAATGGAGGTTCGCCTCCTATACTCAAGGGGAAAGAAAGATGGTCAGTTTACCTTGAGAGGAGGCATGTCAGGGGGTTGTACAGACACAGGTGAAAGGTAGTTTGGGCAGATGACAGAATGTCTTGAATGCCCCGCTAAAGTCCCTCGGGAGTACATACTGCTTCCACCTGGGTCCAGGGACAGCATCTCTGAGCAGAATTATTTGTCTTTGTTTCCAGTGAGAAACCAATACAGATTCTCGGCCTTAATCTTGAAAAAGGCAGCCAATTCCTCTCTTACCTGTTGAAGGCCCAGCGATAGTTACTGACCCGGGGAAGAGCTCCGCTGTTTGCTGGATGCAGAGTTTACTCCCAGAGAAAAAAATTAGTCATCAGAGAACTAGGAAATCCAAAGAACTTTCCTCTGATGTCATCAGAACATTCACATTATCTTTAATTTGAACATTCTCACAACATTAGAAACCTGTCGAGATAAAAGAATATACTGAGAGAGGGGAGCAGGCACAATATGAACAAGGGATACATGGAGAGAAAAGAGGAGAGATGGGGAGCTGGAGGAGGAGTGAATAAGAAATGAACTTGGCAAGTCCTGCAGCTTTGTGGTCACCATGGTGACCTCATGAAGTCATTTCTCTGTCTTCTTCCAAGTTTCAAGAAAATCTTTGAAGGATTGACCTGCAGTCCAAGGAAGCCAAGTGAACAGTGGAAGAGATCCTATATCTTTATCCTTTTTCATTGCTCTTACTGGCAGCAATCAATGTGAAGTTTTGGGTTTGACTTATTTTTTTTTTAAGAAAAGAGGAATTTATGAAAAAGTGTAAACGCTAGAAGCTGAATAGTGATAGGAGCAGCAGGCTGATAACCATGATGACTGAGGAAACAAGGCCTCGTCCCATGCTTTCCTGCTGTGGTTGTGTAAGAAACTGAAAATGCACAACCAGGAAGTGGCCCTTGGGTTCTCGCTTTTGTTCCTGAAATGTCTGGGGTAAGCCAGAGCCAGGGAGAAAGGGCTCTTCGAAGCATACTAACTTTGTTCTCAGTGGGTTTGTTTGAACTTCTAACACCCCCAGGGAGCACATGAAAGGACAAACACACACGGGGCCACTGTGCTGCTGAGGGTTACAGTCTGGCAAAATAACACGCAAGATTAAACACCAGTGTGTATCCATCCTGTGTTTCCCTAAGAGAACCTTCGTTTTGGCCGAAAGGACATTTCATGTGGCCTAGGCCAACAGTGTGTTGCTTGGGACAGTAAATACGCCAAAGGAGAACTTATCTTTGGGTCCCACATGGCTATGTGACCCTCTGATATCACCAGTGTGATGCTGCAGCTTCCCAGACACAGCTGTCTTTGAACACATGCAACATAGGGCTGTCAATGAATAAATAAAACTCCATGAGCAGGAGAGAGCCCACACCCAGACACCCTGCAATTCGATCCTGCTGTGTTTCACCTTCCGCAGGCTTCGGCCACACGGTGCATGTGTTTACAAAAATCACACACACACACACACACACACACACACACACACACACGGGAAACCAGATTTTTTCTGTTGTGCTTTATGGTGACACAAATTATGGGTTGCTCTATTCTCCATTGTTTCTATGCAAACTGCTTGATTTTTTGTTCATAAAATTAAAATTAGCAACAACAACAACAACAAAAAGAATCTTTTTCTCCTCACTCCCACCCTTCTTGCTATTTTATATCTAAAGGTTGATATAACTCATTGACTTGGGTAAAATGGAGACAAGAGTCAACAGAAAGAGTACAGAAAAAAAAACCCCAGCCCCTCACTCAACACTTATGAGGCCTTAGGTAAGGCTCTTAATTTCCCTAAGTCTGTAAAATGAGAACGAGGAGGCTCCTCTGGGATTGAAAAGATAATCAAATAAGGTAATGGGAGCTTTTAGCAAAGTGTCCAGCACAGAGTCGTCACTACTGAACATTAGTCTAATCGTAATCTGAATCAGTGGGTGGAAGAGAACACAAAATACTTGAAAAACATCCATTAGGACTATTTTTAGTCTTCAAAGCAGTTCTGCCAGTTGAGGAACATATTTTGTGTATTGTATTCACTGATCTGGCACTTAACACTTCAAGTGCCTTGTATTTTCTCAACAATGAAACAATGAATTGCTGAGTTTATCTTTTTTTTTTTTTAAATATATTTTATTGATTTTTTTTACAGAGAGGAAGGGAAAGGGGTAGAGAGTTAGAAACATCAATCAGCTGTCTCTTGCACATCCCCCACTGTGGATGTGCCTGCAACCAAGGTTCATGCCCTTGACTGGAATCGAACCTGGGACCTTTCAGTCTGCAGGCCGATGCTCTATCCACTGAGCCAAACCAGTTAGGGCCTGAGTTTATCTTAATGACTCTTTTCAGCACCCCTGGCTACCATCTGCACAGAATAAACTAGACCTAAGTAGTATTCTTCCGTCCAATGTTGCCTTCCTGTCATGTATATAGATTTCTAAGAGCTCTGCCCATAATGATATTCCTTATGTTCTGCTTTATTTCGAAGCATTCAATATACTTCTGCAAATTAGGGTGGAGAAAAAGTTGAGACACACAAATTGGACATAGGATGTCTATATTCTAGATCAGGGGTCCTCAAACTTTTTAAACAGGGGGCCAGTTCACTGTCCCTCAGACTGTTGGAGGGCCGGGCTATAGTTTTTTTAAAAAAAAAAAAACAACTATGAACAAATTCCTCTGCACACTGCACATATCTTATTTTGAAGTAAAAAAACAAAACGGGAACAAATACAATATTTGTATTTGCATGTGGCCCGCGGGCCGTAGTTTGAGGACCCCTGTTTTAGAATGTCTAAGTGTCTAGAATAGATTCTCAGGGCTGGGAGGAAGCAAGTCCTCATGTTAGCGAACCACGAGAGATGAAATGATAGCTCAGAGTCTGTGTCAGCAGACCAGGTGGGGCTGAAGTTCCCCATGCCTTAACCCACTCATTATGACTCTGTAGGTGGGGCTCTCGCTGAGATCACCATGAACAACCCAGGTGAAGACAGGCCTGAAGCAAGCAGAGTCTTGCTGGCCCCAGGTAAATCTGTTAGGAGTATTTTCCTACTACTTTATATGGGGAGAAGGAGAGAGCTGGCTCCCGGGGACAGACCCAGAAACATGTACTCACATACTGCTTTTTGCTTACAATGAATAAAACTAGAGATTTTTATTATTTGTTTATGACCATCACCCCTTCTATCTTCTGGAAATAGCATTTCCTTGTTCTAGGGAAACTGAACTGCCCCCACCTTGCACCTGGCCCCAAGGGGTCTGGATGGGTGCTGTCCTCACCCTTCTGGCCAGTGATTGGTCTCTTGTGGGAGCACGTGACCCAGGTTAGCACATTCTGAGTCTTTCCTTGGGATTTTTCAAACTGGAGTTTAGGGGATGTGTCTTTTTTTGTTTGTTTTCAATCTGTGTGATGTCTAAGGAATGGAGCTGGGACCCAGGGACTGCTGGGACCCTTGATTAGGAGCAAATGAAGTCAGCAGCAGAGAGAAGCAGAGATAAAGGATAAAGGTCCTACTGATATTCAAGCCCTGGTTCCAGTTTTCCCAGGACAGGATGTCCTTTCTGGAGTCTGGTTAAAGGAGACAAGGCGATCCTCTGTTATTTAAGCTAGTTCGAGTTGGACTTCTGATTCCTGAAATCAAAAGAATTCCAATTGGCATGCCCTGCCTACCTGAAGAATGTATTTCCTCACAGGTGAAAAGAGCAACGTAATTATTTTGCATGATAAAGAACCGATAGGTAAATAGCTTTCGGTCTTTAGAACCAGTTTCTAGACAATAATTAGAAATGACAAGTAATGCTGCTGTTGACTCTACTTGACAGGAATTGTTAACGCCTGACTTCCTCTGTGAAATCTATGTTTTAAAGCTATTTCACACAAAATGATTTCCCACTCATCAAACCCAGCAGCCCTTTCCTTCCTTCTCTTATGTCTCAAGTTCGCTTGTCCAGCGTGTTCGCAATCGGAGCCTTTCTGTTCCTTAGGAAATGTTATCCCATCACTTGCAAGTTTCCATTCGTTAGAATTCATCTTTTGGTGTCTTCACCCTCCATCTCCATTGCTTCTTTCCCATCTGCTCACATACATCTTTATATCTTCCCTGTTAACAGGAGTTTTAAGTGAACTTGTTTTGTTAAAATAAGTGCCTTCATATCTAAACCCACAGCAGCAATTTGATCCTCCAAGTAGGTAACCTGAGTGGTTGGATGTATTCTGATTTGAAATAAAACCAAATAACTTTTTGAAATTGAAATATAATCGACATATTACATTGTGTAAATTTATGATGCACAATGTGTTGACTTGCTACACTTTATATTACAACATGACTATGGTCTTAGCTAGCTATCACCTCTGTCATGCCATATTTCTTCATAGTGGTGGGAACAGTTAAGATGTAGTCTCTTAGCAACTTTGAAGTTCATCATACAGTATTGTTGTCTATAATCACTGTGCTGTGTGTTACATTTCCAGGATTTATTTATCTACTGGTTTCAAGTCTACTCTATACCCTTAAATGACACATCCTCAATTCCCCGATCCTACAACCCCTGGTAACCACAAATGACTTTTAAAGTAGGAATTCCATTTGCATGTGGCCCGCGGACTATAACACCCTCCAGTAGACTATAACACCCTCAGCAGTGTCCTATTTATCTATATCCTTAGCCCCCTAGGACTCTGCTTGGCATATACTAGTACTACGTATTCAATAAATGTTGAATGAATGAATGATTTTAGTCATCTTCTGTAGAGGTCCACTCTCAGACTCACTGGTTAACTACCTACGCAATTTCCAAGCTTGGGGTTTTATGAATGCCTGTAATCCTGGAGCCCAAATGTAAAATCATTATAATTCAATTAGAAAAATCTGAGAGACACAATAGTAAACCCAGGGGCAATAGATTAGAACACCAAGAAAGGTTTAATCTCTAACAAAGACCATGGTCACAAATACACTTAGGCCCAACTCTGACTAGAAAACTGTAATTTATCTAAAGCCACAGAGCACCCAGGGGAGTGGCCTACCTGTAGAGAAGATGAGGGAGAGAAGAGAAGCACTATGGCAACGGGCATGCTCTGAGATTGCTTTGTATTTTCTGCTTGAGAAGAATTGGGCAGGTCAAGTAGGCATATCACCTCTTTTGCTCAAGCAGGGAAAATTGCATTTTGTGAATTGTGTTAGGACCTATTTGTGCTTAATTTTGATGGAGGTTCATGCTAAAAAGGAGGTTTCAGATCCAGCCAGGATGGAAATTTCAAATTCCATGAAAAATCAACGGAGATATATTTCTTTTTTTACAGGAGGATTTCCCCCAATGAGCAAGAAGAAACAACCTCTTATTTGACTGCTCGACAGGGAAGCTTACAGAAGATGCCAGTTTCTCGAGGCCTGCCTTCTGTAGGGAAGAAGCAGGACTTGAGAAGCAAGGAGAACTCTGAGGAGCTGGCAGTCCAGACTCTGCCACCAATCATTGGGTGGCCAGGGATGGGATGACCAGGATGACAGGAGGAGGTGGGGCTGACTTCGAGTGTTCTAATCCTGCCTCTTTATTAACTATATAAATGTGGACGAAGCCTTCCTAAGCCACTTCTCCTCAGGCTTATGATTTCCACCAAAGTGACCTGTTTTTTCTCCTACTCCAATAGAGAAATTGCTTCAAACTTGTTCTGGGCCCAGGTCTGTTTTCCAAGCCGTCTGCCTGGCTCAGAAATTTAGCTCCTGCCAGGGACCACTTTCTTGTGCAAACAAGGACAGCTATTTCCCCCAGGCCCTGGCTCAGAGGAATGTTAAACTCTGTCAAGGCCTTTGTGGGACATCCTGGGAGTAAATACAATTTATATCCATTTCATCATTGGATGCCGGGCCTGTTTTATAGAGCTCTCTATCCCAGTTACGCAACCCAGTCCAATCATGTCTAATATATTCATAGCCAAGATACAAGATATTCTCTTGCTGCTGTCCTTGAAGTATCTTTTTACTTTGGACTTAACTGATCCTCTCAAATGGGTAGCCAGGGCCAGGGAATGCGCACGGGGATTAACAGGACTGAGTTAAGGCTGACCGCAAAGGCAAATCGTTGCCATTCACTCATTAAGTCATCAAACATATTACTGAGCTCCTGCTGCTTCATTCCAGGCACTGTGCTAGACCTGAGGACACAGAGATGAAAGCTGTGGCCCCTGCCCTCAAGTTGCGCACAGCCCCGCGGGAGGCTGAATGACGCGCTGGTGAAAATCAGACCCGTGTTCTAATCCTGACACTGCATCTTACTAACCGTATAAATGTGGACAAAGCCTTTCTAAGCTTGCTTCATTTCCCACATCTACAAAATGGGAATAATAGCCCTACTTCACAAGGTCAATGTGGTCATTAATAAGATGAACTACAGTGCCTACCACATAGAAAGCACTCAACAGATGGCATCTACCATATCATGGTCATCATCGTCCTGGGAACAGCCAGGTAAATGAGCAACTACAATATTGCATGTGACGTCTGAGGCTCGAGGAATGTGCTAGTACTATCAGAGCATCACCTGGTTTGGTAATGAGGAAGAAGACTTACTAGAGGAGGGGAATTGATACCAAGCTGAGCCCAGAGAGAGAGAGAGTAGGAAGTCAGGCATGGGAAGTTCATTCTATGAAGATGGAATAATAGCATATGTAAAAACCCAGGTGCAATAAAAAGAGGCACTTTCAGGAAATTGCAAGTAGTTCAGTCTGTCTTCTGCATCTTGGAATACATGTGGGGAGGTGGTCAGAGAGCTCGTGAGGAAGGGAGGGGCCAAGCCATCACCCTGCAGTTGCCACAGGGTCACGCACTGCCACACCTACACCACTGTCCTTGTATCAATACCGGATGGTTCCTTGTCCCTGAGGAACCTTCTCCCTTGGCCTTTGGCTTTAGAGATTTGGATGTTTCTTTCAATTTTCTGTTTTGTCCTATGCCAGTCATGGCAGGTGTCACAAGGGAGGAGCAGGGTTCTGATGTCGTTTTCAGGAGTTTCCCTGAGCGGGGGACCCACTCCAATACTGGAGGAGACCGCCCCATCAGGTGGGAGGAAGTCCTTATGTCCGGGAGAGGAAAGGAAGTACCAACTAGTGATCAACTGCTGGAGAAGCCATGCCTGTGGCCAGTGTCTCTTGTTCTCACTGATGGCTCTGACCGAGCTACAGCTTAGGAGAAGGAGGAGCTTCAGATTTGCTACCGTGTCCTATAGGAAGGTTCAGTCAAGGCCAGTCAACAGGTACTAACTGAGTACAGCCTTGGTGTCTAGGACTGTGCTAGCACTGTAGAGAAAGATTCAGGAAGTGTGCTGAGACCCAAAGCAGCGATCTACGGGCCAGATCCGTGGTTACAAGCCAAAGCTCCAGAGTCCCTGCTCTTTCTGATCCCTGACGCTGCTTTGGGGCATTCAGCATGGCCAATTCAGTTTAGGGTCAGCTGGAAATAAACTACAAGTCATGGCCGGTTGCAACATTGCTTGCCTTGTTGACTTAATCGCAACAATCCTGACACAATAGAGGATTGTATTCAATCAATGGGAGGAATAGTGAATGGCCTTGCTAAGCAGGAAGAGGTACAATATGACCAGGAAAATCTTGGCAAGCTCAGGTGGCTTTAAAGAGGTCAAGGCGTGGGCTGCTAGTCAACTGAGCTCTGGGCAAGTCAAGAGAAACCCTGACCGACTCTCACACCTGCCTTCAGGTAGGCAAAGGGGTCTCTAAGGAGCTCTTTTCAGGAGATGCTCTCTGCTCGTGGGCCATGAAGGACAAAAGGCAGGAACTGGAGGTTGAGAAGGTTTGTGGACCACTCGGTTGCCTTCACTAGATTTGGACATCAGTGTCTGGGATCATGTATCATGTCTTATTGGGGGTGGGGAGGGAGCAAGGAACAGCACAAAGAGAGAGAAATTGATGGAATTCAAAGGCAGAAGACTCCACAAGACTAACAGAATGAATGGATGAACCTATGTTAGCCTGGAAATTCACTTTAAGACCCACATGTTACCTGGCTCCGTTACCTTTAAACACACAGATTTCACTTCGGGCAGAGTAAGAAGTATCTGTGTGTCCCTGAAAGAGAAGATATCACGAGTCCACTTCCGAGGGACAAAGTGGAAAAGTGGCTTTAAATCCAGTTAGTTGCCTGGAAGACATAGGCATCTACAGATTTAGATGGAACGGGAATTGGGATGGGCCCTAGAAGGGGAAGCTGCAGTGCAGCGACTGCACTTCAGACCAAGAGCTCCAGCCGGCTCACTATCGGGATGTGGGATGAAGACACTCTCACTGCCTCTGTCTTGATTTCCCTACTTGTGTAAGGGAGATGATTCACAGCTTCCGTGAACCTGCCTCACAGAAGCAACAGGATGATGAATAATGCAGCATATCAACATGCTTTGAGCATTTGAAAGATGCCTGGTGTAAGTGCTGGGTATGATTTTGTCATCATTCTTATCTTCTCACCTTATCATTGCAGAAAATCATGCTTGGAGAGGTTGGCCATTTTGACATCAATTTTTGGCCAACTTCTCCCACCCTTATTTCCACACTGATGGGCATGAAGCCAGGGTAACCTGTCTGCTCTATCTTCCTCATAGACCAAGAGCTTCCTGAGTTTGATTCCCTGCTCACCTCTGCCCCCTGCATGCTCTTCCTCTTCTCCATTTTCCTAAATCCAGTCCTTTTCTCCAGGTCTAACTCACGTTTCCTCTCCTCTCTGAGGGGCCCTTCCTTTCTTATTCAGCACTGTCTTAGCCAGGCTTCTCCAGAGAAACACAACCTGTATGGAAAGAGAGGTGATGAGGGACCAGCTCATGCGATGCTGGGGCATGAGAAGTTGAACGGCCTATTGTCTGCAAGTTGGAGACTGAGGAAGCCAGTGGTGGAGTTCTAGTCCAAGCCCAAATGCCTGTAAACCAGGGAGCCAATGATGTAAGTTCAAGTCCAGGTTCAAAGGGCTGAGAACCAGAAGCACAGATGTCTGAGGGCAGGAGCAAATAAAGGTCTCAGCTCAAAGAAGCCTTCCTCAGGTCCGGGTCCAGGTAACAATGGCTCCTTATATCCTTGCCAGGGTTTTTTAGACTGTCCAATAGGGGAAAACATGATTTTTTTTTTACATATATTTAAGTTTAGATTGGCTTCTAACAAGGAAACAAGACACACACTGTTCAGAGGCCAAGAGCTACAAGCCCGAGCATTCACTGCCCAGCGCTGGAGTTGACCCGTGGTAGGCATTCCATTTTAGAAAGCATCGGCGGTCATCATGGGCCCCGCGCCCACCTCAAGCGTGAACAGAGTCGCATAATGAGTCAGCCCCTCTGTGAAGGGCTGACCCAACTTTCCTCTTCTGTAGAATGGGTATGAGAGTCCTGGCTGGCTCTCTACATCACCGCATCTTTAGAAGGAGGAGATCTGACCCCACCTATTAAACACCCTGCAGTCCTTAAAAAGAGGCAATTTCCTTTTCCTCAGTGACACTGCTGCTCAGCCACTTGTCAGGAGACGTCATGTGGCAGGTGGGGTGAGCTGGCAATTTCCTATGCAGCTTGGCAGTGCCCGCAACCTCCCCAGGGAGGCCTGTGTGCTTTTAACTTCCTTCCCCCAGAGAAATACAGAAGGCAGTCCTTCCTTCCCTCTGAAAATGTCCAGGAGGAAAGCCTGCTAGGGAAGGGTGGGCGGGTTGGGGAGAGGCCGGTTACCCCCATCCACCCAGCCTGCTTAGCTAAAATCTCTCAAGGAGGGACAGGCCCCGCCCGCAGGCCACGAGGTCCTGATCCCAGCCAGTTTCCTACTGAGCCCAGAAGCAGCAAGGCCTGAGCCAAACTCCTGGGGCCAGAGCAGCCCTGCTGGTGCCTCCTGAGCTGTTGCTTCTGTCAGTCAGTGCAACACAGCTGGCGGGTTGGACTCTGATACCTGTCTCAGGATGCTCCTGGCAAAGGACCGCATGTGTCATTGCCACCTGACTCTGATGAACAGGCCGTGGGTATCAAACTCCAGGCCAGAGGGTGATGTGGCTGAGTGTGGCTGAGGCAGCATGGGCAGTGGGCAGTGTCTCTCACCACGCTCCCCTCCCCACTGTCCCTCTCCCCGGATCCTAACCCCAGCTCCTCCGCTTGGGGAGCTGTTTGTCCTTAGGCAAATCATTTAATTTCTCCGTGCTTCAAGATCCTTAAATCCATCCATAATACAAAGATGAAAAAAATGATACCTACTCCAAGACCTAGGAGAATTAAAAGAATGAACACATGCAAAACAAAAACAAACAAAAACCCCCCGAAAACCCAGGCCTGACTCAGGGTAGGTGCTTAGTATTAAGTAATAAGAAGGATCCCTTCAGACCCCTGTCAGCTGCTCCACACCGAGTCAGGGAGAGAGCGTTAAAAAAATATGAAGTTGCCAAAGAATGCAGCCAGTTCCCCATCCCCAGCCGTGGGCCACCTCTTCCCGATCCTTTTGTAAACTGCCTTTAGGAAACCCCAAAACCCACACTGACATTGCAAGCTTTCCTACCTGGCCCAGCTTTTAAAGCTACAGTGGCCTCAGTTATACATACCCCTTCCCTGCCTCCCCCATACCCCACAGGTACACTCTCCAAGGACAGAATTCATTTAGTCTCTTTCTAGCTTTTCTGGCCCTTGAACTCCACTTTTAGCAAATTTGGGGGGAAATCAATAATCACCACCAAAACCCAGGCCCCAAATCCATTTTCTCCGTCTCAGACCCACTAGCTCAGAAAACTGAAGCCTCCATGCGATGTGGCCATGAGGCCAAATTAATTCACATTTTTGTTCATCTGCTTCTTCAGAGGATTGTTTCCTAAACTACTGGAGGGAGTGCTGGAGAAGGTGAGACCCCAGAGAGTCCCGCTGCCCCCTGCTCCTGGACAAAAGAGGGAGGGAGGCAGGGCTCCCAGGAGCTGCTCTGGGCCAGCCCTCTGCTGAGCCCTTTCTAAACCTCTGTCCCCAACTTGGACGAGGGATCTCTGTTCTTACATAATGTGGTGGGGACAACGAGGGGTAAGGAAGATGGCAGGGCTGAGAGAGCTGAGTCGAGAGTCCACAGTGTGCCTCGGACCACCTGGG